CGAAGGCGGTCGACCGGAACTCCCTTGCTGAAAAAACCAGTTAATTAGCCCTAACAACTGTTAGTTTCTATGGAACGACGAATTCATGCAGCATTTCCCCTAGAGCACCATGTGATGTCATCGGTGTGTGCATATGTATGCGTGAGGCATGATTTTACAAATTTGAGGAACGGGAGGAGAGAAGAATGATGGTCAGCAGGATTTGCAGGTTTGCTACCTGCAAAAGTTCAAAGTCAGCCAAATTTTTTTTAACCTCGTTTCCTTTGCCTTTCACAATGGGCAGCGGCTATAAAAAAGGCTCAGCAATTCTAAATCGAAACAAACATCACTACTAAGCCAGCACTCACGTAGTGATGAACAGTTTTAATGCAAACCTTGGGTGAGATCGGAAGGATGACGACACGCTAGCCAGCAAATGCGTACACACGACGATGAAGACGGTCAAACTATTTGCTGTTAATGCCTGGTTTTGCAAAAGATGGAGAACGGAGAGAGAATTGGCTTTCGCTAAACGCAAAAAAGGGAGAAATCGCCCGAGATTACATTTGGTGCATCCCCAGGAATACATCCGTAGTACCCTTCTTCAATACGAGGAATGTCCACTGCGTGCTGCGAGCAAAAAAACATTACCCCGGTTTTTAAGATGAGGCACTCGAAGCGGCAAGTCAGCGTGCCAGATCCAATGAAACTGATAATCATATGGGGCAACAAGTCAGGTAAATCAATAGGATTCCGATGACCGAAAACGACCAAGGTAATTTCATAGTACGAGGATTTATGGGGCAAAATAAACAGAGAATCCGCTAATTCCAATTCTCCAATTTAAATACCTCCAAAGCTGTAAAATTATTGCCGGAAAAAAGCGTGAAAAAGGTTAGCGCCCCCGGGATGTAGAATGCACTCGTCTCTGCAGACACATCTGGCCTATACGAGAAAATCAAATTCTGCAGAATTTAACCGATAATGCTTGTGTGCCAGGTCCGACTGCAGGACTTCGCGCTTGCCCATTTGCAAAATTTGGATGTGGTATTCCCTGCTGCTGCTGTTGCTGTTGCTGCTGTTGTTGTTGCTGCTGCTGCAAAGAAACTAAGTAATTACAACGTAATTTTACTTCCACAATGCAATTCACACACAGTCTTCTCATTTCAGTCTAATCTTCACACACCAGTGAAAACAAATGGTAATGACAAATAACAACAACAATAATAATATTGATAACAATAATAAAAATAATAATAATAATAATGATAATAATGATAATAATAACAATAATAATAATAATGATAATAATGACAATAATAATAACGATAATGATAATGATAACAATAACAATAGTAATAATAATAATAATAATAATAAAGCTAATAACAACATTTGAAAGAATCTAATTTCGAAACGTTGGCAGTACTGCTAAGAAGCGTAACCTGGATTCCTTTTTTACCTCCCCCACCATGGCTGTGCGACGCCGCCGGTCGGGTCGGGCTACGGGGGCACGATACATCATGGAAATCTACGAGAATTAACATCTGGAATTGAAAAGAAGCAAAAATATGCCTGCATATAAGCCTGCTGTGGTATGATCTGAACTTGCTGCATTGGCTGGTGCTGACCCGCATTCATATGGCCTGGTTGGCTGAGACCCTGCACAACACCCATGTGCGCGCCCATCATCTGCTGACCCATGTGCGCCTGTGATGGGAGCATTTGTGGTGGTGGTTGGCCCGTGTTCATCATTCCTGGCTGATAACCAGCCTGTGATACCATCACACCTTGCGGCTGCAAAATAGTGATAAGCGTACGAGGTTGTAATGAGAGAAATAATGCCATAGGTAATTCACTGGCAAAAAAAAGTACAAACAGCAACGCGCACCAAAACAGTCAGTGTGATCATACGTTTTGTGCAATTCCGTTTACCAAACGACAACCTGTAAATGATTTTCACTGCTTTGCACTCTGACCTATGCAAAAATAGTTGAAATGTTAAAAAATAGTTAAAAATTTCATGCGCCGGTACGTGACATCTGAATTCGAAAAGACGAAAGGAGAATATCCTTCCAAAATATCAATCTCCTAATTTTCTGGCTTTCGAACAATCTTTGAGATAAACGTACGGGAGACTTCGGCATAATTAAGAACTAAATTCGAGTTTGGTAAGCCCCTGTTTAGGCAGGAAACAAATTCTCCTAAAATTCTTAGCCTCCTAACTCTTCTGGCTCTCGAGATGATTTTTCTCGCCAAAACTTCCAAGGCGATTTTAAAATTTTGCGGAGTTGTATGTGAGGAGGGGATGTCATGCTAACTTCAGCTTTTTAGCTTTTGCAGTGCCTACCAAAACTTCCACAGGGCGATACGTGGTACTCAGGAGCGCGTAAATGCTAAATCCAAATCTGTGGGGGGTCGTACATTGTTAGGGGACATCGCCCTAAAACTTCAGGTCCCCCAATTTTCGAGGTTTCCGAGATAGTAATTTTTCCCGACGAAATTTTTACGGGGCCGTATGTGTTACTCGCGAGTACGGGGAGGCTGAATTTAAAACTGTGAGGTCATATGTGGATGGGGAACACACTTCTAAATTTTCAGCGTCCTAGCTTTTGTGGCTCCCAAACTGAAAGTTGCGGAAAAGTTGCTGCGGACACGTACACGCACACATACACACAAGCACACATATATGTATGCATATGCATGTATATATGCATATACATATACACATACATACATATGCATACATAAATACACGTACATGCATATACATACACATACGTTATACATACATGTACATATGCATATACATACATATGCATACATACATATACATGCATGCATATACATACATACACATACGTTATGCACACATATACATATGCATATACATACATATACACACACACACACACACAAACCCACACACACACACACTCACACGTATACATACGAAAGCAGAGCTCTTCTTTTTTTTTTTTTCCTGCGATAACACGCAGAGAAATACTAATCAAATTCTCTTCACATTTATTGTA